ACTTATAAATAAATAAATATAATCATAAATAAATACAAGACAGCTCGATGGCAAAAACGCACAAAGGAAAATAAATATTACACCAAATTGAAAACTTACTTCAAAGCCGTGACGTCGCTTTTGATTTACATATTTAATTTTATTTGCATAAAAAAAGAGCCATTAAAACACAAAAAAGTTAAGTTAAATTTACTTTTACCTTTGACAGCATTTTATTTTAATTTCAAGTAATCCATGGCAGTTTTTAAAGTCCCTACTTTAAGTTTAAATATGAAATGGCGTCTTGTTTTCCCTCAAAATAATATTTTAAAGCCGTTTGCAATTTTCTAAACCTACCTTTTTATCGTTTTAATCATCCGCGGCTTAGTGGTCCAAAAAGCAACCTGAAAAGAGAAAAGCGAAGGTTTTGAAAAACAACGCAAAAGGGTTTCATATTAGAAATGTATAAAACTTTTCGTTCCATTTTGTTTTGTTTCTCGTTATTCCGTTTTTTTTTTTTTAATATAAAATGGCTTTGGGTGAAAAATTCGGAAAGTGAGAAGAGAAAGGAGAATATGTAAATATGTGTTGGATACGGGATGCGGGATGCTGGATGCCTTTGGAGCCTTCGCAGCAGCATGCTCGGAATTTAAATTTGTAGCTAAGCCTCGAAAAATGCGCGCCGCTTCATTTCGTGAGAGCAGCCTGACCCTTTTGTGGGTGTGTGCGATGTATCTTTGGTGACAAAGGACAATGCCATAGGGCCGCGGGGGCGACAATAAAATTAAATATTCTATTTAATGGCGTCGTAGTATGCCAGACGCGTCGCCCAACTTTTCTTGATGCATTCCTGCAGGCACCCAGGGGCGTGGTTGGAAGACCTTTGACCTCCTTGGCCACTTCATAACTACAGCTTGAACTTCCTGCACTGCTGCTAGCAAGTCCAACCCCTTTGTTTACTGTAAATAAGAAAACTCGCACTGCAATCCAATAAAAGGAGCCATAAACTTTCATTTTAATTCCGTTTCCTCTCTCAGCTCAAATTGCATCCAGTTTATTCGAATTCTGATTGTCCGTTTATTAGCCCAGGGCCCCTTCCGAATCAGCAAACCAAAAATAAAGCCACGTCTCTGTCCTCGCCAAGGGCATGCAAATAAAACAGATTTTATTGGCGGTCCTTGGGTCCTTTTTCTTTTCACCAATTTTTGTTGTCCAAAAATTTCCCTTTTTTTTCCTGGCCTAACGAGAATGAGAGCCTCGAAGACTTATCCGTTTGTTTTTTTGGTTGTAGGGTTGTTGTTTTGCAATTTCGTGTTCCATATAAATTAAGCAGATAATATAAATTAGATGGGATCGAGAGGGGGCTTGTGTGATCAGATACCCGTAGCATATTTAAAGTAAAGCTTGCGCCCAAAATCGATGACACAAATAATGCCTCAATTAAGCTGCAAGGGAAATTTGTCGAGCCAGCGAGGAAAAAGCATAATGAAAAGCAAGCATAATATTTTCATCTCCTGGAGGTCGAGTCCTCAATACAGCCACTCCGCATTTTTCCCCAATAGATATTTAATACTCGGCAGCGTTTTTTTAACGTTTTCCCCACCCTAACCACGAGGGGCAACCACAGCAAACAGAGTCTAAACTTTTTATTCTCCGCTTTTTGGGTCGGAAGACGTAATGAGTGGGTGGATGGATGGCTGGTCGGGGGTCAAAGGTCGGGGGCGTACACAGACTTGGCATTTGTTTGAGCAATATTTTCGTGTATATTTTTCAGCTTTTCCGCACGTTGTTGATGGTTGTTTTTAGTACCCCATGAAATGGCGTCTTTGGGTATTCCGATTTTAGTGTTTCAAATAAAAAGTTGAAATTAATTAATTTATATATTTTTATCTGCTTGATTTCAGTTTATCCTAAAAATCGGAAGGGTTAAATTGCTGATTCTTCAAGGGAAAACATGCATTATTATTGCTTAAAATCACTCTTAATAGGTATCAATTAGTCGGTGATTTGACTTCCACCTTCCTCGACCCGGGTGCAAAGTTTTAAAGGCGTCACAACCTTACAACGAATTACAACTCACTTGCTCCGGCTGGGGGAGGTTTCCAGAAATGGGTTTTCAACTTGGGTTTGGGGGTTGCCTGGTTCCTGTTCGACTCGGCCAGGGTTGCCAGGCCTTTCCGCACCCACTCACACCCTCTGACAGCGCATAATTGCGCCGCGTCTGAGGCAAAATGAAAATATTTGAAGCTGCGAACTTCTCAAGTGTAAAAAATTTAATTTCGAAATGTAGGTTTAACGAACGGAAATTGCTTTCGCTCTCCGCAGAAAAATGGAGTAAGCCCTTGCCGCCCAGGCCGTTTGTTGTTGCTGTTGTTTCTGCTGCCTGATTTTCCTTCAACTTTTCGCCTTCCTGCTTTTCGGCTGGAGAAAAAACAAAGTAAATGCAAAGCCGATGGAATATCTCGCATCCCGGGCGAAAGCGTATCTCATTTGTGTTTTCGTTTGCAATTTGTTTGGCTAACTTTCTGATTGAGCTCGTGGCTCATTGCGGCGCATAACAGGCGCAGAATGGAATTATTTAATTTTTTACATTTGGCCCAAATAGCCCCCCGGCCACCTTAAGTTGGCCCCATTTCCCCGATGGCAGACTGGCCGGCCGGGTAATTGCAATTGATTTGTCGAGCACTTTGCACGCCAATTTGTTTCTGGTCACGGTCAGTTTGGCTGGGGAATGTGGTCAAGGCAGCTGGTGGGGTGCCAGCGGAATGATTTGGCTCCGAGAGGGCAAATATGGAAAGACTTCTTTGATCTTGGGCTGTGGAAACAAAATTAGCACCTTGCAAATTGCTTTGACCTACAAAATTAAGAAAAGCGAGAAAAAACCTTTTTGAGGCCAGCAAAGTAAATTTATCTTAAAAGGAAATCAAATTAAGAGAAATTCACGTATGTAAAACCTCAAAGTATATAAAAATATTACTAAATTTATTTCTTAGTTGGGCCAAAGTCCCAGCGGTACTGCAATACTGGGCCGACCCGTGACAGAGGTGGAGCAAGCTCCTAGCACTTCGTCTGATTCCAAAAATCAGTTTAACATTTGTTGTCCTCCAATGGAGGAACTATCAGATGTTAAGCTGATAAGAACAGATACTACACTTTGATCTTAGCCATAAGGCCGAGAAGCGATAACTCCAGTATGAAAACGATGAGGTCTCCTTGAGAAAACTGCTAGAACCAGTTGAGAATTAGAAGGTATAGAAGGTATGAAAATGCAAAAGTGCAAAGTATTGCCTATTTTAGGGGTTCATCCCTTAAATTGATTTCTCAGGTAGCTTCTGCAAAGAGGATGTCAGCCTATAAAACGAGAAATATCTTAAGGGTAGAATTAACTCAGTAAAGATTCTTATAATTCCCAACAAGTTTAGGCGCATGCTGAGCAGTATATCAAATGATTTGGTGGTGAAAGCTACTCTGGTTTCTCTTCAGTTGTCGAATAAATCTTTCGCCTTTTACTAAAGATTTCCGTGGAGAGGAACACTCAATGAGTCAAAATTTAATTTTTACTGAGCCCAGCTACTTTTGTATGCAGGGCCATAAGGAATAAATGAAACATAGAAATAAAGTTAAAGTGCAATCACTGCAAGCCACATATCATTATAGAGAATTATTGCAATTAACAGAGGAAACAAAAACCTTAAACAACACTTAACTCAGTATTAGTATAAAGCAGCTTACAGGCAAGTGGAAAGGTTGAGACCTAATGCCCAATTTCACAATTCAAGCCCTTCCATCCGAACACTCTGAAAACCGCGCGAAGTCAAAGTGCATTTTGGGAAAGTGCTAAAAGGTTAGAAGCCAGCTGACCTGGCCTCTTCCAACTCGTCCCAACTGAAAAGGCTCACCAAAAATTGTGGCTGAAAGTGTGTAACAAAAACAACACTCTCGGAAAATCCCCAAACACACTCAGGCCAACTTTTTGAAACACCCACGAACTCAAACTTTCGGAAAATATGTTGCCAAAGCATTTTTTTTCGGCCAGTGTTTAGAAATAGAAGTTCTGGCCGAGAGTTCGATCAACTCCCTGGTCACTATATAGAAACATTAATAACATTATCCACACCCAACGCCTGAAAACAAATGCAAAACAAACTAATCAAACTTTTTCCTGGATAACCAAAAGGACACAAAATGTGCAAAACAAATTGCTTTATTTTCTAATTCAGCTAGAAAGCATTTTCCAGACTTTGTTTCCAAGCAGAATGGACGAGCGAGTGGGGGAAAAATCGAAAATCAATTTCTGTTAATGTGCCTGGGCCAAGAGTTCTCTGCCAAGAGACCTTGCCACCCAGCCACCCAGCCACCCAACCAGCCAGCCTCCCGAGCCATGAAAACTCGGCATGCGTTGGCCAGAGAGCATATTTTTGCATAAAGTTTATGCAAACATTTTTACTCGAAACCCGCATAAATTACAGCGCCCGGCTCGGTGCCCTAATAAACCCTATCTGGCGGATGTCTGGGGCTCAGTAAGTGGCCCGGCTGCTCCTGCTCACGGTGTGGTTCCACTGGTTCTGCTGCTTATTTTGCATGTCATTTGCGTCTGAGCACTCTGCGGCCCAGATTCTGCTGGCTACGATGGAGGAGGAGGAGGAGGCTCTGGACCCAACTTGCACTGTTTGTTTCCATTCGCTGTGCGGCATTATAAATCTTCAATATTTATAGGTTCAAAATTACCACACAAATATACATTTTCATTTGCTATCAAAAGTGTAAAAAGCAGCTACCCATGCCTTTACCTTTCTCTAGTCATAATCATTCTCTGCCTCAACCAGTTCACACACAGTTACGAACTCAAGGTGAATACCTCCATATTTCCTCATTTTTTGAAACAATTCTCGCAAAAAAAGTACAAGTTGTGTTTCGGTTATTCGGTATATATTTAACTGCGGATATAAAAAAATCGGTTTTCTATTTTTGATTTTCTTTGTTACGGGTCCAATCGCTACATCAAAGCTATAAATATCAACATGCCACCTGTAGAACCGAAGGTATCCATAATTTTTAAAGATACTGGAGTGACGGTTATCGAGAATCCTCGGAACTTGAGATATTCAAAAACATCTGTGGACAGTGTCTCGTTCGGCAGGCCACGAGATCTTGCCATTGATCAAGGGGAAGCCGCAGGAGTTACTATTGAAATGCGCAATCGGCTTGTTAGTCCCGAGCCCTTTCAAAACTTTCTTCAGGTGATATCCTTGAATCGTGGGACCAAACCCGAGGATAATATTCAGGAAGCTAACGCCAAATGGGCCCTAATGACGCCCACGGAAAAGGAAGCCTACACTGCCGGGAACTATTTCCAGAGACTAATAAACGAGGCAAATCGTGATGCAGTTAGGCCCGTTCAAGGTAATCTATTTGAAGAACTTCTAAATGGTATAACGATTCCGGGTATAGAGGGAAAGAGTGAAAAGGTACAGGAGGAGCCGACCCCTAAGGTGCAAAAGACCGTAAAGCGGCTAGCAACCACGGCACGTGGAGTGTCTCGTACAGAAACTAAGAAAAATGAAAAAAGTGAAGAATCGGCAAAGCCTCGACGTACAAATAGTAGCTACAAAAATTTCTTGCGGGAGTATAAGCGAAATAGTCCCGGTACCCTATCCGTTGAATGTGCTTCCTTATGGCGTAAAATGACAGATTTGGAAAAGGCACCCTATCGAATTGCATCTTCTACTCGCTTGAAGAAACCTTTTCAGAAGATAAACCAGAAAAAGGTGATTAAACCCAAAGCACCAAGTTACCAACCGCAAAATCAGGATGCAGACGTGAACGCCCTGAACTCGTTATTAGCGGATTGTGATGTTAAATCTTGGATGGAAAATGGCCAACTTCAAGTTTGGCCTGTTGAAAATATTTTCAGTTGAAAATAAGAACTGGTGGCTGAAAATCGTCCATGTATTTAAAGGTGTATTTTATTGAAGACCTTTTTTTCCAAATCTTTAATATAAATTTGGATATTTTCTTTTAAATTTTATTTGAAAAAAAAAATAAAACGCCAAAAAAATTTAAATAATCTCTGGTTAATTCCTTTCGTTATTCCTTGGTTATCGGATTCATGAAAGTGTATCTTAGAAGTTAGATGTAACTTTAGTCAGAATTAAACATGGGTTACTGTGAAGTGCACTTGTGTTTGCTACTTGTAGCTCTGCCACCCCAAAAGCCTCCACAATTATTGCCGCTTTGAGGGCGGGACTTGCTACCGCGGTGAGTCAATGGGGCCTTTGTCTACTCTCGACTTTCCTGCATCGGTTCCTGCTCCTGCTTCTGAGCTAACAAATTTCTCGCTATTGTTTACTTGGTTCGGAGTGCGTCGTTCCAGCCGCCTGAACTCTCTCATAGCTGCTTCCGTTTCCGGCTTTGTTTTCGTTTCGATCCGTACCGTTCTGTTCCGTTTCGTGCACCGTCCGTCCGTCCGTCCGCCCATTTGGAAAACCTCGGGGCTAGCCTTCCACATTTGGTGTTTATTTTATTGTACATTTGTTGCCGGCAACTCCGCTGAGCCGTGAACTGTGCGGCGTGTCATCATCAGCTTTGGCTTCAGTTGCAGAACATCAGCATCATCATCAGACCCGGAATCACCACCATTATCATCATCATCATCATCGCCATATGAGAGGTAAATTTCCTCAGTGGCCATAGACACGAGGCGGCAGGAGGAGGAGGTTGGAGGATGTGGTGTTGATGTCTGTGCCTGTTGTTCTGGCTGCTGTTATTGTTGTCTTTTCGGTTTGCTTTTTAACGTGCGCACGCCGTGTTATTTACTTAACAATTTACTGAATAATTTAAACACCTTTTCCACCCAGCAGGCGCTGAAAGTTATCCGAATGGGCATATTGGGCTTGACAAACAGGTGAGGACTAAAGGTAATGGATTGAAAAAGTCAAATGGACTTTAACAATACCAACTGAGAGAAGAGGATGGCCGAATCATCTACTTTAAAAGTAAAATAAGTTCTGATTACTGGTTACTTTCTATTCCAACCCACCCCGGGTAGTTTTTGGCCCACCCTGTACTTTTTCCGTTGCTACTTCGCTTCCTGTTTGCTCCTTGCTGGCCACCACCACGCCCCCGGCTACGTTTTCCTCTGATGGGCGTTGAATTATGAACCTGACTTTCCTTTTGGGGGTTTGAGGCTGTGTGGAAAGTAAAACTTTCACCTGTGCCTGGCTGTGTCGGTGTGTGTATCTGATACGGTGTGGCTGATAGTTGTCCACAGGCTCTCACACACACATTTTCGCTGACAATCAACCGCACACCATCGCCCTCACACTGGGCACACAGTGAAACTTGTGTTTACTTAGTCGAGTCTTTGACTGACATTTAATGCGGTTAACATACATGCACACTATACAGGCTACGTGTGTGTGTGGGTGTTCGCTTCACTGTGTTGATAATGTGCATAATAAGCCTTAATTAATGTTAAATAATGAATTTTCTCATTTGCACGCCGTCAGCGTTGAAAAGGCATTGCCTTCGGCATTTCCTTGTTTCCGTTTTAATTCGAGGCAAACACACGACTTTCTGTGGGCTTCCAAATATTTACAGGTTAACCCCTGGTTGCCTCTTTGCCCCCTGGAAATGTGAAGGTTTCGAACAAATGGGGGAAGGTTTGAGGTCCTTTGTTGTGGTTCTTTCACCTTTCCCTTTTTGAAAATTTAACAAAAGCCACAACACAAACATTTTAAAAATCAGCAAGTTTTACTTTTGGGCACTTTGTGTATTGGCCAATTAAATGACCTTATCAAAGGGGCTTAATCAGGTTTGCCAACCGAATGACAGGCGTAAATTACATGAGTTTAATTGAATGTTGAACAAATTAATGACAATTCCCAAAGGAAATGGCCTGAAAAAATGTCCAATAAATTCCTTTGCAAATCTGTTAGCCAGAACTTGCCATTTTATTATTTTTAGCTCCTGTTCAAAGTTGTAAGAACTCTTTTATGGAGGAATAAACTCTGGCAAAACTTCATTTCCAATCCCCCAAAGAAGTCAATCCTCACAATGGCACAACTTTTCGTGGGCAACTCTTTTAAATCGAGCACTTTTGTTTATTTACAAGCATTTAACCTAATTATACAAGCAACTTTCCGCATAACAAATATCGAACCGGGCCTTTTTCGACCCCAAAACCCAATAAGGGATAAGAAAGGCGAATGGGAGAGAAAAGGTGAGGGAGTTCGAGCATATAAAAAGTTCAAACTGTCAGAACTTTGACAGCAATATTGTTGAGTTTTATGTACAACAAGAGGAATAACTAAAACAGTGCAGAAATTAGAAACAACATACCGAAAATGTCCGAAAAACTTTTTCCTCGACTTTTCCCTGCAACTTTTCCTGCTTTCCTTCCTTCTTATTATGGAAGTTGTTGTTGCCGCGTCTCTGGCTGCTGTTTAGCTGCTGCTGCTACTGATGATGATGATGATGATGTTGCTGTTGTTGTCGCAGGAGAAAATCAATGCCGGCATATTTTATCCTTTTTTCATACGCAGGCACACAAATACAAATACATACGTATATGTATATACAAATAAAAAGACACCACTACACTGACGCGACAAGGGAGTAGGAAATCCAACTGAGATGCCAAAAAAACAGTTGCCCAACTCAGCGTTTTCTTTTTTTTCTTTTTTTTTGGTAATATATATATTTTTTGTGTTACTTTGTTGTAGTTGATTAGCCGCCTGATGCTGTGGATTTTTATTATTATTTTGTTTGATTTTTTTGCTGGCTGGTTTTCCCTTTTATGCGAGCATGTTTTGTGCGGTTTTTATGGGCCTTGATTTGATTGCGTTTTGTTTTTCGAGCCTGTGTGGAATATTTTTTCCTGTTTGAGTTGGCACTTTCGCTGACAGCCCTTGAGGCAATTATTTTTTAGACCCGAAAGTGCTTGAAACGTTTCAATATTTGTTAGCTGTTTGATGGATTTTTGTTAGTGAATATTTCTGTGTGGTTTGTTATTTTCATTGCATGGAATGTTGCTCAAGTTTGTTGTTTGTTTTATTTTTATTTTTCCCCCTTCGGTTACTTTTTTTTTGTCACTTTTCTCGCAGTGGGTGGCATGCGTTGAGTGGCATGTCAATCAAAATCAATCAAAATGTTCGCGTTTTTCGCGCTCGTTAGCGTTTACACGTGTTGTTGTGTCGTCGTCGTAGCTAGTGCCTCAAATTGCGGCAAATGGATTTCAGGATGTTTTCGGTATTTCCCGTCTCACGTTACCCGGCGCACTCGGAAAATTCTGATGGCGGCACGTACTGCCCCCCAGCTCTTCTGCCACTTTCTTCTACTTCTCGGCACTCACATACACCACAAGGAATCTCGGCCAACAAGGGGTTAAATCCGGCTAACTTGACCTACTGGCCACCTACGTCTTCTTGGGTTTTAGCTAATCCTGCTTTGACTTTTGCATCCAACCGGTGGAGTGCTCCACGGGCGGGGCTAAGGATCGGATCGTTTCGTATTGAATCGAATCGGTTCGGAGCGGAACGGAACAGAACAGAACGGAGCGGACTCGAACGGATCGACTGCGGCGTGTCTGTCGCTCACGGCGTACGCTTTTCAACTGCTGCGCCCGCAACGCTCGACGGATTTCCAGGCAGGCAGACGCCTCCGCCAAGTGAAAACCAGGCGGCGTTCGGTGGCGTCCTCGTGCTTCGTTTTTCACTCGGCAAACTGTTATACTCGCTCTCTGGCTGTCAAGAGAGAGCCAAAGAGAGAGTACCTGACAGAGAGAGCTCAAAGGAAAGAAGGCGAGAGAGCGCACCACTTTCACCGGTTTCCCTGCCCGAGAGAGGGGGGAGGGCTGCAGCGGTGAGCTAGTTTATTTATATTCAATATGATTTATACTTCTGTAAACTGCTTAATAAATGGGATTTATCAATTGCATATTAATCCAATTTATAAGTCAATTAAAGATCCTGAGAATAAATCAAAGATATGTTATCTTTACAGATACAAAATACAAGCTAAATCCCAGTTTTAAATCAAAAAGAAAATGATTGCATTTTATACTTTGTGTATTTTAAGTAACATTTGTTACATTTTCTTTTAAAAATAGCAGGGATTTAGTGAAATAACATAACATGAAATACATTTTAAATAGTGAATAATTTATCAAAAATTTTTAATCAATTTAATTTAATTTATGATTTTACCTAACTGTATCTTCGTTGTTATTGTTATTGTTTGCGATATCCTCATTGGCTTTCCACCTATTTTGATAAGCACTATCCAGTGTTATTTTCATTTCAAATAAAACCTCTCCTCAGTATAAGAGCCGAAAACTTACAAGCTGTTCCCACAGAATTTCCCCTTATATAGCTCTCTCCCCATATGACAGATGGTATAACAGAGCCCTCGTTCAGGGAGTCGGCGCCACTCTGGAAATGCAAAGCCCAAAGACAGAAAAGCCAACCTCAACTCGCAGCTGACTGTGAGTGAGCTGGTGGGAAAACTTCACCACGGACTCAGGCGCGAAAACTCCCAAGCTAACGTCCTCAGCTGGCGGAATATGTGGCCGGAATCGGAGGCTCAATGCGGGAGTGCATTTCCACCTAACCCCGCCCAAAATGCCCGTGACACCGGGCGAAACGGGTCCCCCGGGGGAGCCAAAAATCCATTTTGGCCAGAGCCAAAGACAAGAAAAAGTCAAGATGGGGGAAAAAAAGAAAATATAATGGTGGGAGGTAGTGGGCTGAAAGCCAGCAGCGAAAAATATCGATTCGGTTCGATTGTTGTTGCCTGGCCGCCCACAGCGAATTGTATATTGCTTTATAAGCAGCTTCTGTCTTTGGAATAAA